ATGATCGCGATGGGGACCGGAAGTTCTTATTCCCTGATTTCGCTGCCGGTTTTGTTCTTTCGGGAGAGCTGTTGACTAGGTTTCATCAGCAGAATGTTCTTTTTCAAGGAAGGCTATCGTCAAGGCTGTTATTGGAATTTTTAGCTTAGCTGCTGCAATGAATACTTCAGCTGCTAAAGCAACAGACACGTTCACGATTGATGCAAAGCATGAGGTTTGCATCCACTGTCTAGACGGCAGAAGCTTCTGATATTTAGAATGATTTAGACTCATGTCCTTGTTATGCTTTATGATTTTTTGTTCTTTTTTTAGTTGTCGCTGCTGATTTTGAGACAATGCAAGACATCTCTGGAATCCTATCCGGATTGGTTCTGTAATCGAAAGGTGGACGGATGTGCAATTTCATACGAGGCAAGTTTGCTTTATGGTCCTGAATTTTTTTGCGAATTAAGTACATGTGTGCCTAAATGTGTGCCTAAAAAATACATTCGCTGCCTAATCATGACAGACGTTTTTCTGGTTATTCGCGTGTTTAACTTCTCAGACTGCTGTAGATTCTAGTCTGTAAGTACTACCCCTTGGTAATGCTTTTGCGCTGAATACTAATACGGCATAATAATTCACACCTTCCAATAAAGGATACTTTTGAGAAGGGTGTGGCCGGAAAGTATATGTCGTCACTTTTTTACCTGGCTCATTCTGCGACTTTCCTGTGCTCTAGTAAACTCAATTATGTGGCGAAAAACTTCAGGTTTGGGGCTCAGGATAGTACGATACGATAATGATACGCATCCTCACATCTTCAGGAAACCACCACGAGAATTTCCTTGGAAGAATGTCGTCGAATCCTCTCTCAAAATGACTTCGATGGTCATGGTAGAGCCACCATACGCGTATAAAAGCAACGCCTGCCTTTCTTGCAGACGAAAGGAGAGCAACCCAAATCGCTATCCCAGTAGAGTTGCCATACACCGAAAAAGTGCTGCTATCTGGTTGGATCAAGAAATCCAACAGTAAGGAGAATTCTGAGGGGTGTCCTATGATTTTGCACCGGCTCCAAACTAAAAAAAATTGTTTAAAAATAAGGAAAACTAATCGGATAACCTGTTAACTTTCATATTTTGGGGGTTCTCCCATGATTTTGCACCGCACTGTATAAGGAGTTGCCCAACATCGTCCTCTTTACAGAGCGAGGCTGATCGCATGATCGTCTTGCTTGCGCAGAGCCCAGGTTTGGTGAGCGTAATTTAAAGGTCGATTTCACGGCATATTGGTCGCCACCGGAATAAGAGTAGTGTTGCTCAGAGGTCAGGTGTAGAGAACAAAATCAAGAGTGATGGTTCAAATCCTGCAAAATGGGACACCTGTTCTCTGCTGATTTCCGATCATCAACATGAACGCTTTTTTTGCCTCCCAGAAGGACTAGAGTCCGACGGCGAGGTGCATTCGTTCCTTTTTTGTTCCAAAGTAGCTTTCTCCATTTAGGAAATTACGTGTACCGACGAACCTTTGATCAAACCGCAGGACATTTTTGTGGGAGTGAAAACGTTCAGTGAATATCACACTACCCGCAGTACGATTCTCTTTTCAGTTTTCTCTTTTTTCTTGTGTTTTAGATTGCGTCCTGGCATTACTATTGTAGTAGCAGCCTACAGTTTCAATTTTCAGTACCAGTCATAAAGCGAACCTGGAGTGCGCATCTGCCGTTTATCGAATATTTCAGTGATTTGGTGAATAATGTGATTCCCACCGTTGACTCTGGAGTGCCTAATACAGAGCGAGGTGTGTGTTACTGTTCTAATATTTCTCAATATTCAGCTCTTTATCTTTGAGTTTTTTTTTTGCTCGTTCCTCTGTCTCATTATTACGATGTTTTCTTGTCTTATGGTGAAGGTTTTCCGGCTGCAAAAATACTACAGGGTGGAGCATAAATATGGTGACAAAGTTATTGTGGTCTAGTTCGAAACAGAAAGATCGAGGCTGGATTTCAAGTACAGAGCGTACAACCATATCTTTTTGAAACTTGTTATCATTTCTTATTCAGAATGGAAGCCTATGAAAATGGCAATTTTCTTCAAACGTTTACCCGTTCCAAAATGGTTCAACCATTTTGGCCGGTTTGAAATGATAGCTAGCTCAGTGACACGTTGGCCATAACTTCAATTTTCCGAAAACTATTTGACTATCTTTTTATGAGTACCTATTAGGGTTTTCCAATCGTGGATATGGGCAAGCTCTTTCAAACCTCTGTGCACCACTCTTATATTCTATTTGGGTGTACCTTTTCTTATAAAAAAATATACATCGGCTTGACTTTCAGTGTGGAGGCTTTTCGTGACGAAGAGAACAGGTCAATCGTAGTTAGGCAGAACATTTGTGGTACTTCAAAACGGTCATACTGAGACATCTCCACAGGACAATATGGATTCCAAAAAAATTTTCAAGCTTCACATGCGTTGAGCCCGCACCAACCTAAGCACGATCTGACTTTGCCATGTTTATTTCATTCCTCCGATTAACTTTCCAGCACGGTCTTGATAAGAAGGAGATAGTGCGCAATAAACAACCCCACAAGCGCCAGTGCCCTAATTTAGCAATGCGGAGGCTCTTACTACCGGAATCCAGCCGCGTAAATGCCATGTTTTCGTTTCTGCTGAAAAATTGGAGGAGATGTGCATTGGAATGATCGCCGTTAATCTCTGTCAGGTTTTTTGGTTTGAATCATCTTCCCGCACGCGGATATTTACATGGGATATGGCATGCGGGCAGCACTGCTACGACCAATGCCG